CGCTCCTTGCTGAGATCCCACCTGTGTCGCACCCATCCCCATGGATGGAATTGATGCCCCTGTCTCTTCAGAGATCCTCAAAATGGGGCACAGAAGTACTAATTTCTGGTGAGACACAGTGATGCTTGCGTGCTGGATGAATAATTTTTAACGGGTTTGCAAAGTTTATGTGTTTAAATGACAGCCCCAAGTCACGCAGGCATCATTTCACCCAAAATGCATAATAAAAAACAACAAATAAATAACAAATTCTAGTTAGGTTATCAGCTCTGACGACACACATATTATGCATCACGGCATTACTCTGCTTCAGGAAAAAACAGTAATACCAAACAAATCCATTCTCATCCCAGGACGGTGCTTTCTAACTCCGATTCCCAAATGAAATAAAGTCGTTCTAGGGATATTTCCTTATTTTTAGTTCCCCTCCGCCACTGACTCATTGTGTCCCTTCCTGCTGTTGCTAAATTAACTTCCTCTCCCGGCTGTGGGGATGGATTCTGACACAATAAATCTGAAAAAAAATAAATTAAAAATAATAAAAATCCCATAGCCCGACAGGAAGGATGTGGTGGCCAGGAGCGCTGGGAGCCCCTGCACCCCTGTAACCGTTGCTGGAGGCGTATTTGGGTACCCTAAGGTGGGCAGGAGCAGACTCAACCCTGCACTCCTGGGAGAAAGAGCCTGTTTTTGCATTTTTCATTTTTCTAGGATGAAGGAAAAGCTCGGAACGGGCCTATCTGGAGCAGGTCAGCTGGGGCGTCCCTGTGGCAGGAGCACGGGGACCGCGGGAGCTGGGGACGGGCCGTGCTCAAGTCATCCCGAAGCACAGCGAGGAAATAGGACACATCAAGTTTTATGTGCTTTAAACACGCACCGATTGCTTACGGACAAGCAAGCCAGCTAAATTTAACTCTGCCGCGGGTACGTAACGCTGGCTGGAGGCAAAGGTAGGAAAAAAATCCCTCGGTGCTGTTGGGGCACGCTCCATCGGGGGAGGAAATCATCGCCCTCCTTTCCGCGGGGAATCAGCTCTCACACTTGGTAGGGGGTAGGATCCCACTATCAAGTGAGCAGATAAAAGCCCTAAATTCCCAGTGAAGTTCGACAGAAGGACTTTGAGCATCCTCTCTGCTAAATGAGGCCGCAGAGTACCGAGGTGGCTTCCAGATTCATACAAACCTCAAGTTGCCAGAACTATTGCATGAAACATTTACTGCAAAGGCTGGAATAAATCTCTCCTGAGGAATCCCTTCGCAGTGCACCGTCCTTCCAGCCAGGACAAGGCACTTACAGCAAGCACCTGTGAGTTTAGGGATGAGATGGACCATGTCACAGAATCACAGAATCACAGAATGTTCGGGGTTGGAAGGGACCTCTGAAGATCATCTAGTCCAACCTTCATCCCAGCACACCCAACCACTACACCACAGCCTCAAGTGTTAGATCTACTTTTTTGTTAAACACCTCCAGGGTTGGTGACTCCACCACCTCCCTGGGCAGCCTGTTCCAGTGCCTCAGCACTCGTTCAGTAAAGAACTTCCTCCGAATATCCAATCTAAACTTCCCCTGACGCAACTTGAGGCCATTTCCCCTTGTCCTGTCATTAGTAATTAAGAGAGAAGAGACCAGCACCAGCCTCACTACAGCCTCCTTTGAGGTAGGTGGAGAGGGCAATAAGGGCTCCTCATAGG